CCCGTGAGGAGCTACAGGCAGGCTTACGGTTGGAGGATTCTTGACCCACTGAGGTCTGGTAATAACTGAAAGTCTGCATGCCCCTGACTGAGATCCCAACACAGCTATTTCTGGAAGAAGCTAGGTCTGTGGAGGGCTCATTGATCCCAGGCCACCAGCCTGGCCAGGGGCTGCACTCCTGCTCCCAGGCCCTGCTCAGACCTTGGCACCACCAATGCTGATGATCCGGTACACATTTCGAGTTGCATCATAGAAATAGGACACCGTGAGTGCGTGCTTGCCAGCGGGGATCCAGTTCCGCTTGGTAGTGGGGTCAATCTGGAACACGTGCGCCCGGGTGCTGAAAATTGGCTGTTCCCTGCAGGGGGAACACAAGTTCTGCAGGCCTCTGGGTGGCAACCCAGGGGGGCATGGCTGGGTCGCAGTGGGTGGACGCTCACCTGGCTGTGGACATTGGTCAGGCTGGGCTGGATGGCCTCTAAGGGGTACCCCGAGGGTGACAGGAATGGCTTGTTTGTCCCCTGGGGAGAGAAGGAGCTTGTGAACAAGGCTCCAGAGATGTTCAGGCCAAGCTGGGCTCCAGATGACCTCGCCACACCAGCAGAAGAGGGAGGGGGTGTCACTGGTCAGTCAGAACAGCTGCAGGTCCACCACTCGCCTCCTCGGCCTCAGCCCAGACTGGCCTCCGAAATGCAGCCAAGAATGGCCTTGCATTCCTGATCCTCTGACCTCCACCTTCCACGTACAGGGACGGCTGGCTTGTGCCATCACACTCAGTTTGTGGTGAGGATGGAGCCCAGGGGGTCCTGTGTGCCAGGTGGGGCCTCTACCACCTAAGGAGAAGCCCCCTCCCAACTGGGCTGAGTGTCACCAGAGAGGTGACAGAGTGCCACTGAACTGCCAGGGTAGGAGATGGCTCCCAGAACAGCCCAGAGGTCCTCAGCAAGCCAGTGTTAAACTCGCTATCCAGGTTACCAGGAAAGTGTCCTCCCAAAAGAACTGGGCATGAGGTCGAGATAAGTGAGTAGGACTTATTCACCTTTCACCCACCTGCCCCCTCAGGGCCCTGTGAAACAGGGACAGTGCTAGTCAGGAGTTCCAGGCCACCCTGGACATCACTGAAGGATCCCCCGCCTATGAGAGTAAAAGTGGGGTGCTTCCAGGAACCTAACAGGGAAATCAGGGCCCCTCTGCTCCCACAAAAGGACCACTTAGCACACTCCCCCAGGGCAAGGCCAGAACTCAGTCGGAGGTTCCAGGGAGACTATTTGAAAGGACAAAAGGAAAGCCTGGCGTGCGGGCGGCCTTCATCCTACTACTGGGGAGCATGAGGAAGAAGAGTGTGGAGTCTTTGAAGCTAACCTGGGCCACACACACATACACACTCACAGCAGGCAAGCGGTCCAAATAAAGCCGGTGAAGGGGCTCCCCAGCCTCCTATGGGGGTGCCTGTACACATCACCCAACAGTTTTGGATACCCTCCTGAACCTCCAAATCTGCACCTGAGAGAATTGGAGGAGGGTCCTTTCGGGTGCGGGAGGTCAGGGCCGGGCGCCTGAGGTCACCCCCAACCCCGTGCTGTTCTGGGCAGCTGTTGTCGCGGTCACGGGGTCTGAAACTGGAACCCCCATGCGGGGGAGGGGAGGGGCGGCTCGGCTCGAGTCGTGGACGTGATTGGGACTGGCGGAGATTGAGGGAAAGGGGTCCCCGAACCCAGGCCCTTCCGGTCGGACCGCTCCTGCCTGGACTTGCTGAGATCGGGAAAAGTTACTCACTGAATTGTCACGCGCCTCGGAGCAGCAGCACGGGGCGGGGGATCGCGGGCGCGAGCGGCGGGGGCCCTGCAAGAAGCCGGGCGCCCGACTCCCACTTGGGACCGGACCCTACCCGCGCCAGGTCAGCACCTGAGCCCCAACTCCGTGAGCCGTGACCCGCAACTTTCCCAGCAGCGGAGCCTCGCGACGCGGCTCCCCGACACCCAGACCCGAGCTGGGGGACCTGGTGCACCCTCGCCCCACGCCCCAGCACCCCAGCCAGCACCCTAGCCCGCACCCCAGGACCCCAACCCCTCAGCCTGCACTCCGCAGCACCCCGGCCCCGCCTCACAGCCCGCAACTTTGGAAACTGTCTGCGTCCCCTGCGCCACCCCCCCGCCACGATATCCGATCGCACGTTGGAAGCTGGGGTCCCCCCGCCCTGCTCACCCCGCGTCGCCGCCGCCGCTGCCTCCGGCCCGCGCCCTCCGAGCGCCCCGCGCCGCCCGCGCCTTTGTCTGCGCCGCCTCCGGTCCCATCGCGGCCAGTCCCCGCGCCGCCCCGCCTCTGCCAGCGCCCCCTGCTGGCCAGAGACTCAGGGTGGGGAGGAGGGAGGGTACCCGGAGAGGGGAGAAGGGGGAGGACAGACAGGGAGGGGGAGGGGTTCCAACGGGTGTCAGCGGAGGGTGTTGGGGGAGGGGTTAAGAACGGCTGGGAAAAGGAGCAGATGGGGGGCGGGGGGTGGGGTGGGAGATGGGAAAGGGGACGAGGTGAAGGGGCAGAGGAAGGGGAGGGCACCAGGAGGTCAAAAGGAGGGATTCCTGGAGTAGGGACCCAGTGGGAGGAACAGAAGGAAGATGGAAGGGCGGAGCCTTTGATGGAGGGGGAGGAGCCATGAAGTCAGGGGTTGGGAGTAGAGGTATTAAGGGCAGGGGAGAAGCAGAAGGTAGCTAAGGGGTGAAGGCGGCGGGGGGAGGGGGAGGTGGGGAGGCTCCGGAGGGGCTGTCCGGGGTGGTCGTCGGGGAGAGCCCTGGGCTGAAGGGTTGAAGGCTGAGCAGACTGAAGAAGCTCCTGGTGGTGGGTGGTAGACGCCCAGGGTGTGGGGACAGAAGCGGACATCCTGTATGATCCAGTGACCCAGAGATAGCGGGAGACACAGGAAATGGATGGACCATGACCCTGCGCCTTCCTGCCTCCTGCCGAGGGTGGCTCTGAGCCTTCAGGTGGCTTCTTCGGAAAGAGAAAGTTCCCGGACCCTCGTGCAGCTGAGGCGTGAGGACAGCTTGAGCCCAGCTCCCCAAACGGGTGGGGGTGGGCAGCACCTCAGTGAACGAGCAGAGCCCTAGGCTCCATCTGGGCACCAGATCTTTTGGGCCAGGCGGCGCACACCTGTAATTCCCGCTTGGGAGGAACAAGCAGGCAGATGCCTGTGAATTCTAGACCAGCCTGGTCTATATAATGAGTACTAAGCCACGCAGGGCTAGAAAGTGAGACCTTGACTTTCAAAAAATGCTGGGACTAACTAGGTTCTTAATTGTTACAGGGTCTCAAGATTCAGGCGTTGGGGGTATTTGTTGCATGCCCCTGCCACTGGGTCCTGGGAGTCTGTCTGCCCACAGCAGCCAGCCAAGGATCCTTTAGGGGATTCCCTATCTGCCTGTGATCCCCAGCCCCGTGGGGGTACCCCTCGCAAATCCCTTTACTGTCCTTTTCTAGAAGGTTCTACAAGGGCTTCTGTGTTCTGGGGACAAATGGGCAGCTTGGCACCTAGAAGCCTGTGATCCTCCTGGGCTCTCAGCTTTGAATTTCCTGTCTGACAGTTTTTCTAGGCTCAAACCCCCTTGCCTCTCTGCTTTCTCTAGTTGGAGCTGGGTGTCTGAGCAGGTGGCTACCTTTCGTGGAGACATTCTCTGTCCAGGAGGTGAGTGCCTCTCCCTCCATCCTCCCGGTAGTGTCCTCTCTAAGGACATGTGTCTCTTTGTCCATCCAGGCTGTGCGGTGCTGTTCCCTGCCTCTGACAGCCCAAACCAGGACTGCCTGGGTCCCCTGGGCCTCCCTGGCCTTCCTCCTGTTGACACTCTGGGTAAAGTTATTATATGTGGACATATTTCTGCTGATTTCTGAGTCACGGCAGATGTAGGAGCCCCTGAACCCCTAACCTCCTTGACAGAAAGAACACTTATTCACAGCTGGGGAAAGCGAGGTCCTTTCCAACTGCTCCAAACCTTGAGAGGCAGATGTAAAGCAAAGCGTTTGGCTTAGCCTTTCAGGCCTGGAGCCACAGGATGTGTGAATACTAGGAACAAAGAAAATACCATCTGCTGTGCTCACAGGGACTTTCTCCTTATTAGCAACACACACACACACATATCTGAGCTCATGGAAGTGTTCTGGTCTGTCAGGCACTGGGCTGGCTGCAGAGCCAAGGTACGGTTATTGGGCAGTGGGGGTGGGAGTAACTGAAGGCTCAGGCAGGCTTTGTGCTGTGTGTGGACACAAAAAAGGATGAGAGTTGAGAGTTCTCCTGAAACAAGGCTGATAGGTGCCTGTCTTCCCAGGACTTGGGAGGTGGAGATAGACTGATAGAGTTCATGGTCATCCTCAGCAACAAAGTGAGTTCAAGGCCAGCCTGGGCTACTTGAGATACTGCTCAAAAACAAATACTAGAAGCAGGTGAGTCTCTGTGTGTTCAAGGACAGCCTGGGCTACTTGGCAAGTTCCAGGCTGGCAAAGAGACCCTGTCTCAAAACCAAAACAAATAAACAACAAAAAAGGTTTCTCACCTTATCCTGGCTTTGGTGGTTCAGCTAGGGCTAGAACAGGGCTAGCCTGGAGCCAGCCAAGGGTGGCTGTGGCTTCCTCCATGTGGCAGTGGACTGGGCCAAGGTGAGGGGCTGGGGGACCCAGGCAGCGTCCAGAGTCCTTCTCTCCCCTGGGCCTCAAGGACAGTCTTTCCAGGATGTCTTTACTTGACTGGACTGGCTCCCAAGGAATAGGAATGAGCCTCCTGTGCCCAGGAGGAACCAATCAGGAACCAGATCAATGTTAGTGATTGGCAGCCGCCACCCACACTGAGCAGCAGAGGCTGTGTGAGCCCTGGCTTCCAATCAGGGTCTCTGCTGCACCAGAGCACGACTGTCTTCGTCTGGGAGTTCACTCCCTCTCCCCCTAACCTCCTGTCCCTGTGGCTTGCTCACTGTTCCTCTCCTATGAGGCTTTGTCCCAGCAGCTAGAGCAAGCCAACCTGCCACAAATCCCTTTCCAGAAAACAGGTTTCCTGACCTTGGGCTGGCTATGTTGACCAGGCTGGCCTTGAGCTCTGCCTCCCAAGTGATGGGGATTAAAGGTGTGGCACCACTACCCAGCCATAATTCAATTTTTAAATAAAAATAATTCCTTAGCTAGGCAGTGGTGACACACACCCAGCACTTGAGAGGCAGAGGTAGGAGGTTCTCTGTGAGTTCAAGGCCAGCCTGATCTACAGAGTGAGTTCCAGAACAGTCAGAGCTACTTAGTGAGCTCCTGTCTATAAATAAGTAAATAAATGGGTGCAGCGTGGTTGCGGTGTGGCTCTCCAAGCCTGCTCTTCTCTCCAGCCTGCTCCCCCACACGGCTAGCCATACACAGTGGGACAGATTTCAGATCTTTTCCTCCTTCAAAATTCCTATTTATCTCTCAGAAACCTACCCCCAACACCCTCATTTCCCAGGAGTCCTTTCTCTTTTGTGCCAGTGTCTCTGTGCAGTTTGTGAGTGTCCACACTTAGGGGCGGGAAGTGCTGTGTTAGTGAGTCTGCAAACTTGGACTTCTCGCCCAAGAAAATTTTGATTCAGTGAGAGGATCCAGCTCTCCAGCTCACACAGGAAGAGGCCAGGGTGTAGGGGCTGCCTGCTGTGCAGCAGCAGGAGGAGGCATGCTGGGTGCTGGGCTGCACTCCATTCCCACAGATCTAATTACCCTCATTTACCATGTGCGCTAATTGCCTCCTGGGAGCCAGGTGGCCGGGTGGGGCCGGCCCATTTTCAGGAGTAGGTCACAGGATTATTTTTGGCTAATACATCCTTGTAGGCTCCGATATCCATGCCTGTGAAGGGCAGAAAGTGGGCCGGAGGAATTGTGGCCACATTAGGAGGGGCTTTGGAGAGCTATGTGAGCAGGGAGGGGGTGGTGGCAAGGGTCTCTGGCACCTAGGCAGGGGACACTCAGGGCCTCGGGTCAGCCAGCTTCATCGAGCAGTGGACCTAAAAGAAAGCTTCAAACATGATTTTGTTCACACCTCTTAGTTCTCAGGAGGCTGAGGGGCTCTGAGCTCAGGGCCAGCCTTAGCTACACAGAGAAAGCCTGAGCTACATAGAGAGACCCTGCATTAAAGGTAGGTAGGTAGATAGATAGATAGATAGATAGATAGATAGATAGATAGATAGATAGATAACAAACCAAACCCAAACCATGGCATTGCCTGGAAGAGCACTTTGGAAAGGGGAGTGTATCAGATGGGCATGGGGTCGAAACTTGACTCCAACGTGGCTTTCTGCCTGACCATCATGATTTCTAAAATTGTCACTTTATTGAGACATGGAATAGGAGCAGAGGGACACACAGCAAGCACAAAGGTCCTGAGGTAGAGACGGACTGGTTTTACTGGAAGACCAATGTGGTCAGATGCAAATAAGCCAGAGATCCATGAGGTGGGTGTGAGTCCTGATGTGAAGGTGCAGGAGCTGAGCAGAGCCTTGAGAGGCCAAGGGGAGGTGTTTGTGTATTTTGAGGGTACCAGGAGCCATGGGAGACTTTGGAGCCAGAGATGGAGGGGGATGTGACCAGCTGCATGCTGCAAGCGCGGTAGGGTTTCAACTCTGCATGCAGAGAACAAGGGCCAACTCTGCCTTTCCTAGAGCCTCAGTTTCCCCATTCTGGGCAGAGTCCCCCAGACACACAGAGGCTGCACCTTGCTGGAAGCCCGGGACTGCTGGTCTGGCCTCGGCTCCCTCGTCTGCTCCCACCTCCCACGATCCTTCTGCGGAGCAGCTGTGGAAACAGCAGAGTGGGGAAGGCGGCTTGGAGGGGCTCCGGGGGCCGCGTTCCCGCTGCGTGACAGCCCACGCGGGGCCTCTGGGCGCCGAATGTTCCCCGGCAGCCTAGTGCTCCTGCTGCCCCCAGCTGGAGCCCTTTGGCTGCCCCTGAGCCGGGGCCCTCCCCAGACCAGCCCCACCAAGGGGCCCTACGCTCCCCCCCACCCCCACCCCCCACCCCCGTTCTATTTCTCCGGCTCCAGAGCTTTCCAAGGCTCCTGGGGCCTACGAGAGGTGACCAAGCTATTTGCCTGTGGTCCAAGCAGGACTAGAAGGTCCCCTAGGCCTGCCCTTGAAGTATCCCCTCTGCCACCCTCCTGAGCTTTGTTGTGGTTCGGTTTTGTTTGCTTTTTAAGTTTTTTCTTTAACTTGAGGCTGGGGTGTGCAGACGACCCTGGGCT